TTTACCCACACCATAAAGGGAAAACAGACCACAAAATATACCTTGTAAAGGTTAAAGTTCATCCCAATGTTTTTTTCCACTCTGTATTTCCCCATATCAGCAATTTCCCATACAAACTGTTATTGTCATAATATTTATATTAATAATAGTAAAAGAGTAAAGAAGAGGCCAGACATCATTCTAAGCATGGTCATCGGGGCAGTTTCACCAGGAAACTACAACTTCATGCTCCCCAGGGAACCACTGGTCTATTCCCTGCAAATCACTGGGGGAAGGGATCAAACAAAGAGGAAGATGGACACATGCACAGTGAAGTTGGGGTGACAGAGGGAAGGTGCTTGCCTGTCAGTCTAACCTGGGAAAAAGATAACTGGCTGGGGGACTGGGGGAGGTAAAGCCACTGTAAGTATGAGAAATCCTGAAGGGTTAATTGGTTTAAGTTTCAAGTCATAATCCCCAGACAAAGAGTTCTCTCTTGCTTCCTGTTTGCTTTGCACTCTCTTGCTTCCTGTTTGTTGTTGCACTCTCTTATGTGAGCCAAACTCGCCTGTGTGCTTGCCCACCATGTGACCTTAAGCAGCTGCGTGGCCCACATGCAGGATGCTAGTCTGGACTGGATTTTAAAATGGAGCAGAAACTCTGGACACTGGTTTTTATTTTGACCCTGCTGAAGACAAGGTTGGACTTCTATCATGATAGGACAAAGGGAAATGGGACATTGGAAACCCAGAGTTTAATTCCACGGAAATAAAGATCACTTATCCTCCCATGTGAATCTCAGGAAATTCCTTTCCTTACAACATTGCAAGAACTCCACTTCTACTGGTAACAGGTGGGGATGCAAAGGGCACTTCACCAATAACAAAACTATAAACATATAAGTTCAACCTTTAGAGATGGTTGAGGTCTCTCTTCCTTCTCTTGTGAAGAGAGTCTGTTACTCTGTCTATGGAGTGACTTTTCTTGGTTGTCTCTGCTCAATTTCCACTTTAAACTTTTGTCTGGCTCACGTCTTGAATTCTTTCCTGCAAGAAGCCAAGAACCTTCTTGGCTTGAGGCTTGAGTCACCTCTAGAGACTGGCCCATCTGGCAGCAAAACCACATGGCTCTGGCTGCTATGGCTCAGTTAGTTGGAGCTCAATTAGTTGGAGAGTTGTGGATTTGATTCACATTCAGGGTACATACCTAGGTTGTGGGTTCAATCCCCCATTAAGACATGTTGGAGAGCTAACTGATCAATGTGTCTCTCTCACATTGATGTTTCTCTCTCTCTCTGTACCCCTCTCTAAAATCAATTAAAAAGCAAGCAAGCAAGCAAACAAATAAATTTCTATGACCCAGGGCCAATCTAGAAAATCTTACTTCTGATACCAGCTTAACTGTTTTTACTATCAGGACTTCTTACAACAAATTTGTGGGTTATGTTTTCCCCCTCACCAACTAATTCTCTAACTACCCACCTACCAACTATGTGTCTTACAATTCAGTCAGTTCTGACACTAAATAGACAGTAAGCTTAATCCCACAAAACTGTCCCTTACTTCAGATGCCAATCATAAGTCCTGACTTCCCACACTTCTGACCAACTAACTATAAATCAGGGGCTTCCATGGCCCCCCACCCCTCACTCAGGTTCACTAATTACTAAAATGACTCGGGGAACTCAGGAAGTAGAATCCAGTTTACTATTAGTGGATTAGTATAAAGGAAGAGCCAAATGGAAGAGATGCACAGGGCAAGGTATAGGGGTGTGTGTGGAGTTTCCACACTCTCTAGGTGCACCATCCTCAGCACCTCTGTGTGCTCCCCAACCCAGAAGCTCTCTGAACTCCCTTGGGTAGGGGTTGTTATAGATTCCATTATGGAGGCATGATTGAATAAATCTTAGTGATTGACTCTATCTCTAGCTCTTCTGACATCTCCTTGGGGGTTTAGGGGTGGGGCTGAAAGTTCTAGCCCTCTAATCACATGGTTGGTCCTCTAGCAACTGGCCCTCATTGTGAAGTTAAACAGGGGCTCACCTAGGGTCACCTCATTAGCATAAACACAAGTATGGTTGAAAGGAATTTATGAATGACAAAAGATACTCCTATCATTCCTATAGCAGTGGAAATTCCAAGGGTTTTATGCCAGGAACTCCTGGAAAGACCAAATATATATTTCTTACTACATCATAGTATCACAGGGGGTAATAATAAAATGGGAAAAATGCTGATAATTGAAGTTGAGTGATAGCTACGTACAGGCTCATTATACTACATCTCCTGGCTTTTGTGAATATTTGAAAACTTAGATAATAAAATATTTATAACAAAAGAGAATGACAGAGAGAGAGGGACACCTTATAAGCCACAGTAAGGAGTTGGAATTTGATTTTTAACTTTTTATTTTGAAATAACTTTGATTTATAGATAAGTTGCAAAGGTAGTAGAGAATTCCCATATACCCTCTGCCCATCTTCCTTTAACGTTACATCTTATAAAAGCAGGGCATATTTATCAAAACTAGGAAATTAACAATGATACAATACCATTAGCTTAACTACAGACTTTATTCAGATTTCTCCAGTTTTTCAACTAATGTCTTTTTCTGTTTCAGGATCCAATCCAGGACACTGCACATTTAGTTGTCGAGTCTTCTTTTAATTTTTTTTTTTTTTTTTATCCTCACCGGAGGACATTTTTCCATTTTTTGTTCAGGTAAGGTGGGAGGGAGAGAGAACAGAGAGAGAGAGGGAAACATCGATGTGAAAGGAACACATCGAGTGGCTGCCACCCGCACAACCGACCAGGGCCGGGGACAAACTGCAACCGAGGTACATGCCCTTAGCGGGAACCGAACCCGGGTCTCTCAGGACCGCAGGCCGACGCTCTAACCGCTGAGCCAAACCGGCCAGGGCAGTTGTCGAGTCTTCTTAGTCTCTTCCAACCTGTCAGTTTCTTGGTCTTTGTTTCCTCTGATGACTTTTGAAGAACAGTGGTCTGATATTTTGTAGACTGTTTTATCATTTGAATTTGTCTGATGTTTTCTCATGATTAGACTGAGGTTATGAATTTTTTTTTTTAAATCCTCACCTGAGGATATTTTTCCATTTATTTTCAGACTGAGTGGGAGGGAGGGAGAGAGAGAGAGTGAGAGAGAGAGAGAGAGAGAAACATCTATATGAAAGAGACACATTAATTGGCTGCCTCTTGCATGCCCCCTACTGGGAATTAAGCCACAACCCTGGCATGCACCCTCGAGAAATCAAACCAGTAACCTTTAGGTGCCTGGGACTACATCCAACCAACTGAGCCACACTGACCAGGGCTGAGGTTATGGATTTTTGCAAAGAATACTACAGTGGTGATATAGCCTTCTCATTGAGTCATGTCAGGGAGTGTATGATGTTAACATGACTTATTTCTTTAATCTGAATTGCTTGATTAAGGTGGTGTCTCCACCTTTCTCCACTATTTTTTTCCTTTTCTATACTCATGAGAGTAAGCCCCTCTAACACTCAAGGGGACTTTATTATTATTATTATTATTATTATTATTATTATTTTGTTTAGGTAGAGTGGGAGGGAGAGAGAGGAAGAGAGAGAGAGAGAGAAACATCAATGTGAAAGGGACACATCGAGTGGTCGCCACCCGCACAACCAACCAGGGCTGGGGACAAACTGCAACCGAGGTACGTGCCCTTAGCGGGAACCGAACCCGGGTCTCTCCGGACCACAGGCCGATGCTCTAACCGCTGAGCCAAACCAGCCAGGGCGACTTTATTATTTTTAAAATATGTTTTTATTAATTTTTTAGAGAGAGAGGAAGGGAGAGATAGAAACATCAATGTGAGAGAAAAACATCTCCTGCACACCCCTCACTGGGGATGGAGCCTGCAACCCAGGCATATGCCCTGACAGAGAATCAAACCTGGACCTCTCAGTCCATGAAATGATGCTCAATCCACTGAGCCACACCAGCTGGGACTTTAGGTCTGGCAGGTGTGGCTCAGTAGTTGAGCGTCAACCCACGCACCAAGAGGTCGCTGGTTCGATTCCCTGTCAGGGCATATGCCCAGGTTGTGGGCCTGATCCCCAGTGGGGAGCATGCAGGAGGCGGCCAATCGATGTTATCTTTCATTGATGTTTCTATTTCTCTCTCCCTCTACCTTCCTCTCTCTCAAAAATCAATAAAGAGAAGAAAAAACACTGAATAGAACTTTACAAGCAGAGTGAAATCACTGAAGGGATTTGGAGGCAGAGACAATTTGTTTGACTGTCTGTTTTAGAAGGAATGTGCTGGCTGAAATGTGGAGATGAGTTTGTGGTGGAGTTTGTAGTGGGACTGTACATAAACTGGTGGATTTGACTGACTTTAGCAGTCTGACTCAGCAGGTGTTGGTTCTTAATTGGTTATGTGTGATGAGAGGTGAAGTGAAGGATGGCCTCCAGATTTCTAACTTGGACAGTTACATTTTTTTCTTTATTGATTTTAGAGAGAGGAAAGGAGAGAGAGAGAGAGAGAGAGAGAGAGAGAGAGAGAGAGAGAGAGAGAAACATTGATGAGAGAGAACATATCAATTGGCTGCCTCCTGCATGCTCCCCACTGGGGATTTGCCCCACAATCTGGTGGGGAATTGAACTGGCGACTCCTTGGTGCATGGGTTCATGCTCAACCACTGAGCCACACCGGCCAGGCAGACCTTTTTAAAATATAAACCAAGGGGTCTGTGTGCCCCTGGGACATTGTGTGCTTCCCCTGACTCCCAGTGAGAAGCTTTTTTCCACTTCTTGTTCTCTCTTTGGAGCAGGTCTCTGAGGGTTACTGGCGGGGTGGAGGTTGGGGGGTGACTTACCCACATACACACTAGAAGAAATCTGGGATTAACAAGGAGGGCCAGAGTAACAAGAGAGGGGACAGCCACCGAGGGACCGAAAGAAGCTGGAGGAAAATAAATCATCCCTAAATCCTTTCCTCCCCTCCCCGTTTAGTGACCCAGTTATGAGCATTTGATTCAGTGGTTTCAAACAAGCAATTTTATTTACCTTTTCCACGTTCCACCAACCAGCCTCCCTCGCTCTCGACCTTGTGTGTTTTGGGTCCTTTCCGAGGCCTGTTGGGGGAGGGGGTGGACGCTACCTCTGGGCCCTCACCTCCGCCGGCGAGCCCCCCGCCCAGGTTTCTTTTCTCCTCGGCGCCGTCGGGCGGAGACGGGAGGCGCGGCTGGAGTTGGGGCTGGAGGCCCGGGCCCGGGCCCCGGGCGGGCCCCGCTCCCTTGCGAAGGCTTGTAGATCAGATGGAAGATGAAGGCGTTGCAGTACCTGAGGGGGTGTGGCACCGTTAGGGGCGAATTCCCGCCAGCCAGAGGGTAGCAGGAATCTTTAGGGGATGGGCGAGGAGTTGGAGAGATTTTGTGAGTTGAATGTAAAGGGTGTGTTGGGGTTGTCGAGACCGCCAGGGGTGGTGAGTAGTCGGGGCAGAAAAGGCAGGTTGTAGGGCTGGGGCAAGGAGCATCCCAGGAGAGCAAAGGCGAGGGTAGGGATGGGTTTAGGATGCGCAGCCAGAGAGTAGGAAGTTAAGGGTCCGGGAGGAAATAGGGAGGGTGTGGGGCCTTACCAGGGCATACAGTTGTCGGCCGCTCGGAGACGAAAGGGGGAGCGGAAGGGGTTGGGCTGTGGGGGGCTGGTGCCCCCTCCCGTGGCCACTGCCATGGTCTGTTCGTCCATCACACAGCCGTACTCGCTGCTCTCGGTGAAGAAAGCCGGCACTCGGAGGGACTGGGGTGGGAGCCGGGCCTCAGACACTCTCAGAGAGGTTCCCCCTCCCCCACCTCCCGAGCAGCCAGGGTTGTACACGGGGTTGAAAACTGGGGACCCAGATAGACCGGGATGGAAGAGAGGCGTGGGTCAGGCACAGAGAGGGGCAAGAGGACCCGTGGGCAGCCCGGGGTCTGTAGAACAGGTGGTGGAAAAGCAAGAACTTTCAGAGAGGAGGAGGGACTGGGCAGAAGGTGAGAGAAGTTCCCTTTTGCCCCTTTGCCCACCTGTAACCGAGGCAGGGAGCTCAGCCAAGTGTCCTTGAGACCAAAGCCAGAGTTAAATCCTGTGGACCGAGGGAGAGCAGGGACAGCTGGCTGCCATGTGTTTCTTCTCCCTCCTTACCCACACTCCTACCTCCGGTTCTTACCAATAACCAAGTCAGGCTTGGGCCCCTGCAGCAGGTGGTAGGGCCGTGCAGACACTTTGATCTGCAGGTCCCTTCGGCTCCCCTTCTCCTTAGTTCCAGAGTTGAGCCGTGCTGATACCCCCGAACCAGGACGGACAGATACTTCGGGGCCATCCTGGGGAGCCATGAGTCAGGTGGAGAGACCACTGGGAGTTAGGGTACTGGAGGATGATCAGGCAGGACAAGAGACGGGAGGAGGGAGCAGAAGGGCAAGGCCCAATAAGGAGGGCAGTAGGAGGATCAGGGCTGAAGAGCAGAGACCCCCCCCTCAGCCCTCACCCTCTGCAGGGTAAAATGCTGCTGGTCACTCTCAGGGGGCAGACGGTCACCCACAAACTGCAGTTCCAGGGCCACGTGTGGGAGCAAGACCAAGAGCTCCTAAAGGACAGAGAGGACAGATCGGGGTCCCATCCTGCATTCGCTTTTACACCCAAAAGCCCAACCTTTGGGCCTGGAGGACTTACCCAAAACACCATGACAAGGTCAAACTCTTTCCCGGCCTCCACCACATGGATTTTCAGTGACTGTTTATTCTGGATGTTGAGCTCAGGGACTGTGTGAGAAGGTAGCTATTTGAGGATATGATCTCCTTCCTCTTCCCTCCTGTCCCCTACCAGCTCCCAGCTGCCCCTCTTTAAGTACTCCTCCCCCTGTGCTCGCTCTCCTTACAGGACTGGGGTACCAGGTGGGTGATGACGTAGTACACAGTCAGCGGGTAGGTGAGAAGCACAGCCATGGGGGAGTCCAAGCTGAGGCCCCGCCATGTGTAGTAATCTTGCCATGAGCCTGGGGAGAGTGGGTTACTGGAGGACCTGGCCCCAGGTCTAGCCCCAACACCTCCAGTCTAATAGTCCCCTTAATCTTAGCCACCCAGACTGCTGGCTCTCCAGTCCCTGTCCCTATCCCTAGTTCCTACAGGGCTCCTCCAGCTCACCAAAGAGGCCCCTGGGTGAATCTGGGGGCACAGGAGGCATCAGGGCAGGCCCGTCCCCCTGGAGAAGTTGGTAGGGATCTCCTGAGAGGAGGAAAGAAAGAAGAGGAGCCTGACGTCAGGGAGACCCCACCTGACATGTCTCCCTCTCCCTTCCGAAGGAGCTGTATTAGCTGAGAGAGGCCCTGCAACTGCAGCACAGGGATGGGGGCAGGGGCTGCCAGGAATAGTTTCTGGATGGGTAGGGCAGCAGTGACTTAGAGGGCTGGGGAAAGGACTGCAATGGCCCTGGTAGAAGTGGTAGGGTTTGGTGTGTGTATGGAGGGGTTATCTGGGACCCAGACAACTTTATTTTCTCCCATCCTTTGCTCTGGTCTGAGAGGCCCAGGCCTGAAGAGAGGTCCCATGCACCATTGAGAAGAAGGCTGAGGGATGGTGTGCTGCCCTGGCGGTGCCTGGGGGTGCCAGGGCCTGGAATCAGCATGCTGATCTGGGTCCAGTAGCCACGAGTGAGGCCTCGTGAGGCCAGGAAGGCCTCCTTGTTGAAGGTTTCACTGGTCACCTCTGGAGAAGGAGAAGGAGAAGGGTTGAGGGCCTGGTGGCTAGGACCCCAGACTTTAGCTCTCCTCAGCCTCTCCCCAGGACCCTGGGTCTGAGTATGGTGCTAGTCAGGGAGAGAACTAACATTTCTGAGTCTCTACAGTATAGCAGGCATCCAGCCGACAGAATTCTTTTAACAATTCCCTGGGAACATTTGTAAGTATCCCTATTTTACAGATGAGGAAACTAAGGTGCTAAAAAATAAAATGATTTGTTTAAGGTCATCAGTTAGCGTTGGAACTGGGCAGCAAGTGTTTGGATCACTAGCTCCAAATCCCTTAAACTCTCTCAGAGACCCAGATGCTGAGTCCTTAACTCCGAAGACCCTGTCTCCTGCCTCAGGTGTCTAACCCTGGGCCCCAAATGCCTAGTATCCAGCCCTTATTCCCGGGATCCAGACTCCAGCCCCAGGCACTTAACCTCCAGGACCCTGTTCCGAGACATCCAGACCTCAGACACAAAGACCCTGTCCCAGTTTCTTCTCCCCATCCTGACCTCCTTATGGTACCTGCAGTGTAGGTAAAAGGCAGAGTTGCTAGTTCCCCTGTCCGCTCCATGAAGGCTGCAAGCCTTGGGCACCAAAATCTGTGGCTCACATCATCTGGGCATCGCCGCCAGTCAGCCCGGAGACAGGCCTCTCCACAGTACAAGACAGCACTACACTGGGGGCTGGGGTCACAGGGAGTGGTGGGCAGCCAGTGTTAATCTCTAAATCCTCTGTCTGCCATCGGTCTGCCCTGTAGCTGCCCAAACTTGGTCTGTTTGTCTGTATTCTCTCTGCCATTAACAGTTTGTTTTCTTCATCTCATTTCCCTGTCCCTCACTCTGTCTGTCTGCAGGGTCCCCCACCGGCCTGCTTTCTTTCTGTTTGCCTGACTGTTGGGGTCTTCCTTCCTCTCACTCCATCTTTGCAGGCTGCTCACCAGGGTGTCAGCTTCACTTCAAAGCTGTGCTTGTGACAAACATGGCAGGTTCGAGCCCGAAGCGAGGCAAAGGTGAAGCCTGGCTGGGGACCCCATGTCCGCATTGGGGTCTTGGCTAACTTCACTCCCAGCCTTGGGACCAGACTCTCCAGCTCTCTGAATGAAGGTGGACAGGGCGTCAGGCTGCAGGGTTCAGAAGCCCAGGCCCCTAGGCCTCCCCACCCTCAGATACCAGATTTCTGTACCGGTGCAGCCGGGCATCTCCCACGGTAAGCTGCCGGGGCTTTCGAGGGTCTCCGGAGCCCATGGGGCAGGCCATGCTGTGGCAGAGGAGAGCATAGGCCCGAGGAGCAAGGTTCTCTGTCCCTGAGCCCTTGCCTGCACTCCTCTGTGCTCCATCCATTAGGAGGTCAATGCCCAAGATGGTGCCATGTTCATCCGTCACCAGTAAGAGGCAGGAAAGGTGCAGGGGGGCAGCCTCTGGAGAAGAAGGGAAAAGTCGGAAGTAGGGGAGGGGTGGCAAAGATGATCAGGGTCAGGGGTACCAAAGTCAGTGCCTACAGGGGCTAGGCAAGTAAATTAAGTGAGTAAAGTAGAGGGGAAGCCTCTTCTAAAGGGCACAGCTGCCACACACTACCAGTATTTGCTGCCATGCTGAAATGTGGGCCTGCCGTCAGAACCTGAGTTTTTCTTAGGACAGTATAACTCCAGACTTTGGGCGTTTTTTCCTTCCAACATTTAAAGGTTGGCTCCAATTCAAAACCAAAAACAATGTGGGACAGTAAAAACACCTTTCCAGTCCAGACTGGCTTGAAGCCACCCTTTTGTTTGTGACTCTTAGCTGGGTTCTGAGTGCTAAGCAGGGCTTCAGAAGGGGGGTATGTCTGAGCAGGGGGTAGGGCAGGCCAGCCCTGGGTTCTTACCACTTCTCCGTCCCTTCCTCCTCTTAGGCCCAGATTCGTCTTCTGCCCTGTCCTCTCGGCAGCCATTCTCACCACCTCCTTCCTCCTGCTCAGCATCCTCTGGCTCCCCTGGAGGATTTGCTTCCTGGGGGGACTCCCTGCTGGTATGGGCTGGCTCCACATCCTCCTCTGGTTCTACCTTTTGTGTGCCTGCACCTTCCTCCTCTCCATTTTCTTCCTCTTCTTCTTCCTCCTCCTCCCCTTCCCCCCCTTCCTCCAAACTGACCAAGCTGACATAGGGGCTTAGGTCTCGAAGGTGGAGTGGGGGCTCATCTCCCAGCAGCCAGCCAGCTCCCAGGCCTGGTCCAGGGCCTGGCTCTGCCCCTTGCCCCAAGCTGATGCCCACACTACGGTTGGGCAAGACATGGAGCACCCAAAGGGCAGGGTCCTGGGGTAGCCTTCTGATCTGAGCCTCCAACTGTCGCCAGCGGCCCTCAAGGCTGGTCTCCACAGCCCCACGTTCTGCCACGAACTTTCGGAACCAGCCGAAGAGGAGGGCAGTGAAATCAAGGAACTCATCTCGGTATCCAGACACAAACTCCATGTCTTCAGGGGCACAGGGCCTGGGCTCACACTAAGCAGAGGAAGGATTATATGGTGAGGGAGAGGATGGTGGTGAGAATTTGGGGCTGGGTCACAAAGTGGGGGAGGGTGGGTTTAAGGGTCACTTAGGGTGAGATCTATAGATGAGTATTAGGAGCTGAGAATAAGGTTTTCGAGGCTGAAGATGGAATCCGGGGGGTGAGAATGGGGGCTAGACTTGAAAGTGGACCATTAGGGTTAATGATGTACTCAGGAGTGAGATGGTATTTGGGGCTCAAAAGTTGAGGCTCAAACCCTCAAAAGCAGGGTTTGAGTTAGGATAGAGAGAAGGGAGGGTTTATCCTATTGGGAAGGGTCTGGCAAGGAGGGAAGTTTGGATCCGTCTGTGGGGTGTGCGAGGAGGGAACAGGAGCCAGAGCATCCCTTCAGCTTGGATCGGTTTGGCGGCGAGCCCCAGTAGACCTAGCCTCTCCCGGCCGTTCCACTACTCCGGTACCTGCAGCCGCCGCCACTTTTCGAAGGTAAATACCTCGGGGGTGTGGGCGGTGGTGACGTCAGGGCTGCGGAGCCCGTGGCCGGCTCCTCGCGAGCCAGCAGCGTGTGTTCCGGGAGGTCAGTGGACTTTCTAGTCCACATCACCTCGGCCATGTGACTAGGTCCGGGGAAGTGAAAGCATCTTGGAGGAGGCGGCGGGCGAAGACACTGGCCGGGTGTCACAGGTCCGGAGGGCTGACCCGGAGTAGGGGAGCGGTCGGGCGCGGCCGACATCCCTTAGCCGCACCAAGTCAGCCCGTCGGGTAGCTGCCTGCCCCGCCTGCCCCGCCTCGCTCTGCCGCCCAAGTTTTTTTTCCCTTTTTTCCACTTTCCCAGCCGAGCCCTCGACGAAGGCTCCGGCCCGGTGCGGGGGCGCAGGCGAAGGAGCCCCGCCTCCGGGGTTTTCCCACCCGCAGGAGGCCGCCGGCCGCGCGGAGTCGACGGTACTGACCGCGCTGTCCGTTCGAGGCGCTGCGAGCCCGGGAGGGAGGGTGGGAGCTGCCCTCTCGCGCCGCAGTCTAGGTCGGGATTGGGTGCCCACGGCCTCAGTATCTCTCGGATTCCCCGGCGGAGCAGAAGGAAGCGAAAGCCTTAGAGAAACCAGCCGAACGTCCCTCAGAGCCTGTCGGGGAGCCAGACTGGGCCAGACGCCCCGAGATGAGGTGGGGCTGGGGACCTGAGTCCCTCGCGCTCCTGCTCCTACTGCTAGCGCAGCTGACTCTGCCAGGTTCGTTGGGGGCCAGGAAGGGGTCCAGATCCCCGAATCCGGGGAAGGAGATGGCTGTGTGTGTGTGTGTGGGGGGGGGGGGTCGCTAGGGTCTCGGGATTGGGCAGGGGGCGGGCCAGCTGCCTGGAGTTGGGGTCCTGCTGCGATCATGAACGTCTTTGGGGGTGTGATGTGTGGGTTGAGCTTGGCGATCAGACCTGAGGTCTAGGAGAGAGGCTGCATTGGGTCAGTAGGTTGGAGAATAAGTAACAGCCAGAGGAGCACCTTGGCCTGGGAAACTGTGCTTGACCACCTCTGTCCTGCTTAGGCGATGGCAACGAGGGCAGCAGAGCTGGAAGTTGTCGCTGTGATAGAACATTTTCTTCTGGTTACCCTCCAGTGGTTCAAGCCATGGAATATTTCCGAAAAAAACTGGAAAACTATGATCGCTGTCCTCTCTTTGTCAGGTAATCCCACCTCTGAGAGGGCAGTGCCTGCACAGTCCCTCCTTGCCAGGTGCCTCCAGGACCCTCTCTGGGTTACATTTGCCTTAATTCTCCACACCTTCACTTACCTATTCCACCTTCCAGGAACTTCCCAGTCCAGCAGAAACGGGTTGCTCTGGGTGGAGGTGAACTCACCTCTTTGGAATGAGGAAAGAGCCAGAAAAAGGGTTGGGGGGTGGGGGAGCTGCCAAAGCTGAGACCAGGTTCTTTTTTTCAAGGTTCCACCTACCTTACCGGACTGTATGTGGGGGAAGCAAAGACCTGTGGGTGATTGAATTGATCAGCTGTTTTGATCAAAGAGGTAAGAGCTTTCCCCCTCCTCTCCAGGCTCTGTTTCCAGGGCTCAGCGCCTCTACCTTGCTACTGTTTTGCCTTAGCCTTTTCCCCTGTGCCACCTCACGTTCCTATTCTGACGCTGGCCAAAGTACTTTCATTTCAGTCCTTATTTACCAATTTCATGATTTTTTGCTAGTTCATCCTGTGCTTTATTGCACATCCGTCTATCCATCCTCTATCATCAATACCTTATTTTTTAAATTTTTTTTATCCTCACCCGAGGACATTTTTCCATTTTTTACTCAGATAGAGCGGGAAGGAGAGAGAGGAAGAGAGAGAAACATTGATGTGAAAGGGACACATCGAGTGGCCGCCACCCACAAGACCCAACCAGGGCTGGGGACAAACTGCAGCCAAGGTACATGCCCTTAGCGGGAACCGAACCCGGGTCTCTGTGGACCGCAGGCTGACGCTCTAACCGCTGAGCCAAACCGACCAGGGCAATACCTTATTTTTTTTAACTTAAAATATTTTTTTACTGATTTTTAGAGAGAGAGAGAGAGAAATATCAATGTGAGAGTGAAACACTGATCAGCTGCCTCCTGCACGCCCCCAACTGGGGATGAAGCCTGCAACTTGGGCATGTGTCTTGACTGGGAGTCAAACCAGCAACCCTTTGGTGCATGGGATGATGCCCAACCGAGCCACACAAGCCAGGACAACCTACCTTATTTTTATTTTACTTTTTTACTATTCTTTTTTCTTTTTTAATTTATCTTTATTGTTGAATGTATTACAGATGTTCCTCCTTTTTTCCCCCATTGCCCCTCTCCTCCCCAATCCTGACCCTCTCCTGCCTCCCCCTCACTATTGTTTGTATCCATTAGTTATGCATATACACACAGAAGTTCTTTGGTTTATCTCTTCGAGTCCTCCCTTCCCCCTTCCCTTTGAGGTTCATCAGTCTAACAACCAATTTGTACTTTTTAATTCTTTCATCTTCTTCACCCATCCCCCTAGTCCCCTCTCATTTGGCAAGCAACAAAAAGTTCTCTTTATCTATGAGTCTGTTTCTGTTCTGCTTGCTCATTTTGTTTGTAGATTCAATAGTTGATAGATATGTATTTACTGCCATTTTATTGTTCATATTTTTGTTCTTCTTTTCCTTCAAGAAGACTCTTCAACATTTCAAATAATATTGATTTGGTCAGTGATGAACTCCTTTAGCTTTTTCTTGTCTGGACACTCTACATGTCCATCAATTCTAAATGATAGCTTTGCAGGATAGAGTAATCTTGGTTGTAGGTTGTTGCTTTTCATCACTTTGAATATCTCTTGACACTCCTTCCTGGCCTGCAAAGTTTCTTTTGAGAAATCAGCTGACAGTCTTATGGGAGCTCCTTTGTAGATAACGAACTGCTTTTCTCCTGCTGCTTTTAAGATTCTCTTTGGTCCTGGCCAGTTTGGTTGAATAGAGTGTTGGCCCATGAACCAATGAGCCACAGGTTCGATTCTGGTCAAGGGCATGTACCTCAGCTGCGGTTCATCCCCAGCCCTGGTCAGGTCATGCAGGAGACAACCAGTCGATGTGGCTCTATCACGTTTCTCTCTGTTTCTCTCTCTCCCACTCCATCCCACTCTATCTAATGATAAATAGAAAAATATCCTTGCCCTGGCCAGTTTGGCTCAGCGGTTAGAGCGTTGGCCTGCGGTCCGGAGAGACCCGGGTTCGGTTCCCGCTAAGGGCATGTACCTCGGTTGCAGTTTGTCCCTGACCCTGGTTGGTCATGCGGGTGGCAGCCACTCGATGTGTCCCTTTCACATCGATGTTTCTCTCTCTCTCTCTCTCTTCCTCTCTCTCCCTCCCACTCTATCTGTACAAAAAATGGAAAAATGTCCTCGGGTGAGGATAAAAAAAAAAAAAAAAAAAGAAAAATATCCTCGGGTGAGAAATAAAAAATATATATATTCTCTCTTTGTCTTTAACCTTTGGCATCTTTTTTTTTTTAATTATTTTTTATCCTCACCCGAGGACATTTTTTGATATTTTGTTCAGATAGAGTGGGAGCGAGAGAGAGAGAGAGAAACATCGACGTGAAAGGGACACATCGAGTGGCTGCCACCCACACAACCCAACCAGGGCCGGGGACAAACTGCAACCGAGGTACGTGCCCTTAGCGGGAACCGAACCCAGGTCTCTCGGGACCGCAGGCCGATGCTCTAACCGCTGAGCCAAACCGACCAGGGCTACCTTTGGCATCTTGATGATGATGTGTCTTGGTATGGACCTCTTTGGGTTCATCTTGTTTGGGACTCTATGCTTCCTGAACTTGTATGTCTGTTTCCTTCACCACATTAGGGAAGTTTTCTGTCATTATTTTTTTCAAATAGGTTTTCAATTTCTTGCTCTTTCTCTTCTCTTTCTGGCACTCTCATGATGAGAATGTTGGCACGCTTGAAGCTGTCCCAGAAGCTCCTTACACTGTCCTCATTTTTTAAAATTCTTTTTTCTTTTTGCTGTTCTAATTGGATGTTTTTTCCTTCCTTATATTCCAATTCGATGGTTTGCTTCTTGGCTTCACCTTCTCTACTATTGATTCCATGTAAATTATTATTTCAGTTAGTGCATCCTTCATTTCTGACTGGTCCCTTTTTATATAGTTGATGTTCTCACTAAGTTCCTTGGAGTTCTCCTTAAGTTCCTTGAAGGTCTCACTAAGTTCCTTGAGCATCCTTATAACCAGTGTTTTGATCTCTGCATTTGTTGGATTGCTTATCTCCATTTTGTTTAGTTCTTTCCCTGGAATTTTGTTCTGTTCTTTCACTTGAGACATGTTTGTCTCCTCATTTTGGCTGCTTCCCTGTGTTTGTTTCTATGTATTAGGTAGAGTTGTGATATCTCCTAGGCTTTGTAGGGTGGCCTATTGTTGTAGGTGTCCCATAGGGTCCAGTGGCACAGCCTCCCTGATCACCCCAGCTGGGCCCTCAAGGTGCACCCTTTGTGTAGACTGTACACTCTTCTGTTGTAATTGAGTCTTGATTGCTGTTGCATGTCAATGGAAGGGATTTACTCAGGCTGATCAGATGCAAGGACTGGCTGTGCCCACTGACCACTGGCCTCTGACTCCCTTGGAAGATCAGCAGTGTAGGGGCCTAACACACAGAGCAAGACTTCTTTTAGCAGGGCTCTGGTACCCACTGAGTCCACTCATTGGGCACTTGTAGAGGTGGTTGGGTGGTGGTGCTTTGATGTGGTCTGAAGCTGAGTAGTGGGTGTGCTGGCTCTGGGGCAAGGTCAGCCACTGCATGTGTTCTACCTGAGGCCAACTGGCATAAGCTACAAAGTGATCTGTAGATGGCTGCTTCTTGTGCTGGGCTTGGAGGCTCCCAGGCAAAGCCAAGCTGTGAACCAAGGCTTGCTGCTTTTAGTGCCAGGCCTGGGGCCACTTAACAAGAGGTATGGGACTCGCTGAGACCAGATGCTGCTTAATTGAGAGATTTTAGGAAACTCTGAAGGAGGATCCAAGACAGGCCAATCCTATGGTAAAGCCACTGGAAACAGCTTGGTTGAGCCCAAAGGTTGGGTGGGGCAGGGCCTCAGGGAATCACCAGTGGGGGCAAACAGTATAAGCCAGGTTGCTGGAGTCCCAGATATGGCAGCTGTCTGCTGCCCCAGGGAAGGGCTCATGAAAGGAACAACGGCCTCCCACAGCAAGTCTGTCCAAGAGAAAGCTGCCTCTCCAGCTCTCACCCCAATGCCAAACAACTCAGTTCTTCATTGTATGTCTCTGGTGCCTTTCAAGCTGCCTCCCCCATGCTGGAGCCTGGAGGATGCAAGTCCGAGTAAGACTGTGCTCAGGCCCTTTAAGAGGAGCTGCCTGGGACTCCAGAAGCCTCAGCCTCAGTTCTCGCTGGTTTTATAGCCAGAAGTGATGGGGACTTTTCTTCCTGGCACTGAAACCCTGAGCAGGGTGCCTGGTGTGGGACAGGGACTTCTTGTTCCTCAGGGAGGATCTTCAAAGCCAGAGTATCCTCTTGATTTTATCCACTGCACTTGGGTGTGAAAACAGCCCGTCCACGCCTCCGCCCCTCCTACCAGTCTCAATGTAGCTGCTTAATTTTATAGTTGTAGGACTTCCATTCAGCTCGTCAGGTGGTTCTGAATGATGGTTGTTCTGTAGTTTAGTTATAATTAAAAAAAAATTTTTTTATCCTCACCCAAGGACATTTTTGCATTTATCTTGAAATACAGCAGAAGGGAGAGAAGAAGAGAGAGATAGAAAGATTGATGTGAGAGAGACACATTGACTGGTCACCACCCACACAACCTCAACCGGGGTCAGGGACAAACTGCAACCGAGGTATGTGCCCTTAGCAGGAACCTAACCTGGGCCTCTCTGGTCCGTGGGCCAACGCTCTAACTGCTGAGCCAAACTGGCAGTTTAGTTGTAATTTTGATGTGGTTGTGAGAGGAGGCGAGTACCGCATTTACCTATGCCACCATCTTGACCGGAAGTCCCACCTTATTTTTTTTATGCATTTCCAAGTTGCAGACATGACTATACTTCACCCCCAAATATTTCAGCATGCATATTACTAAGTAGAATTCAATATTTTATTGTTCCTTTATTCTTTTGAGGTAGAATTTACACACAATGAAATGAATAAATCTTAAGTGTACACAAGCCAGTTTTAAAGCATTTTAAAAAGCAACTTGCCCTAAGCAATATCTGTGAAGTCACAAATTTAATGTTTTGATTGTATTTTTATCCTAAAATAAATATACACCATTAAAATACAAAATGTTGCCCTGGCTGGTTTGGCTCAGCTGTTAAAACATCAGCCTGCAGTCCAGAGAGAGCAGGGTTTGGTTCCCGCTAAGGGCATGTACCTTGGTTGGTTTTTCCCTGGCCCTGGTTGGGTTGTGCGGGAGGCAGCCATTCGATGTGTCCCTTTCAATCGATGTTTCTCTCTCTCCCTCCTACTCTATCTGAACAAAAAATGGAAAAATATTCTCGGGTGAGGATAAAAAAACAAAAAACAAAATATTTTTTATTTTTTAAATTTTTTTATCCTCACCCGAGGACATTTGTTTTGATATTTTGTTCAGATAGAGTGGGAGAGGGAGAGAGAGAGAGAGAGAAACATCGAGTGGTTGCCACCCACACAACCCAACCAGGGCCGGGCACAAACTGCAACCGAGGTACATGCCCTTAGCGGGAACCGAACCCTGGTCTCTCGGGACCGCAGGCCGATGCTCTAACCGCTGAGCAAAACTGGTCAGGGCAAAACAAAATGTTTTTCATGTCCCATCTAAAGCTGTCTTGTGTAGCATCAGTGGTAAGCTTACTGCCCTCTGAACTCCATAGGCTTACATTATTTCATTTAATCCTCCCAGCTACTCTGGCCCTTGGTACTAAAATTATCCCCAATTTACAGCAGAAAGAAATGAGTCTCTGAGAGGTTAAGAGACAAGGGGCAAGGTCACACAGCTACTTGGTAGCAGAGCCAAGGTTCCAAACCCAGGTCTCTTGACTCCCCACGTCAGAATGCGTGCTTATCCCAGTGGTTTCATGTTGCAGTTGACTCACTTCCTTCCCCTTAACTGTCCACCTCTTGCCCTGCCTTTCTCTCCTGGTCTTCAGCTGTTCCCTCGAAGTTCTCCTTGACCCACTACCCTTCCTTCTATCTACTTCTTCACCCTGTCCCCATAACCCTGATTTCTTACTTCTTATCTCTTTAGAATGTGGACTTGCTTATTATCAGAGAGTTTTCCACCAGGAGCATTTACCTTCTCCCAGCACCCAAGTTCCTAAGACCTCAGAAAGGGCACCTGCAGTCACGGATATCCCTGCTCAGACGTACCTGCCACTCACCTTGCAGTCTACCCAGCAGCCCACCCTCCCAGTAGAAGTGCTGGCCTTGGACAAAAACCTCACCCACACCAATGAAACCACTACTTCCTCTGTTGGCCACAGTCTGGAGGTTGAGGAGAACCAGAAGCAGATGGATGAAAATGTGGGTCCTACAGCTAAAACATCTGTCATGGTGCCAGTGCTGTCCCTCTTAGGCATTGTCTTCATCCTCACTGTAGTCATCCTCTATCTGCTGTGTAATAAAAGAAAGCAGTCACTGCACGACTGTCCAGGTAAAGTGGACCCCTGAATCCCTCCATTAGGGACCAGAGTCTCTGGCAGGGATCCTGACCCTGGTAGCTTTCAGATAGCTAGAAACCCACCCCAGTCAGACAAATATGAAGGCTATCTGCACCATGGACCATAAGTTATGAGAGAAGAGTAAGCCAGAACACAGAATGGGGAGGGAGGTAAGCCACCATGGGCCCAGGGACCAATGCTTGGCCTTCAAAGCCAGGCAGTATTTGGAGGAACATCGAGATGGCAGCTAGAGCAGGCTAGTGGGAGATGAAGGGGTGGAAGGTGGGAGCCATCTATTTAATTCACACACCTTTATTGAGTACCTACTGTTTACCAGGTTGTATGGTTAAATTTTTTGGAGTGTGGTTCTCCAATTCAGGCTATCAATCCCCCACCCCAACTTCCCTTGATCTCAGAGCTCATCTCTCAATTTATCTTTTTCAGATTTGCAGATTCAATATACACGTGTGGCAACAGACTCCAGCACTTGGGCTAAGAATGGAAACCTGTGACAGTAGAAATTATGGTTTATTCAGTATCACATAGATTTATTAGACAGGAACAACTCTCTGGCACATGGTGGGCGCTCTGTACATATTTTTTAATGTTTAACCAGCTACTGCTCTCTCTTAGATCTTTCTCTTGCCTTTTTAAAAAAATTTTTTATGGCTTTGTACTGGGTAGAATTCTAAGTGTATGAAACTTTAATAAAAAGTATTTTTATAATTACTGACTCTTCCCTCAGTATACATTGGCCTCATGATTCTTGGCTTCAAATTCTCTACTGATGGCTGCCACCACCCCTACCCTTTCCTGAGTCTTTCTTCACACTACACCAATTTCAGCCTTCCCCTGCTTCCTCCCCTGACCCCACACTTAAGGTCTGGGCTTTCCCACTCTCCCTCAGCAGCCACCATACAGGCTGGTTTTACTTCCTCAATTCCTTGTGTCACCCACATATGCCGCAGCGATAGTCTGAGCTCATTGTTTTCATTATTATTGTTTTTATTATAAAAACTCTTAGTTCTTGTTTTATCTCTTCCAGTGCAGAAGACTGTGTCTTCATTGGTCCAAGTCTGTGGAAGCCTGGACAAGGACATGAAAGTATATGGGGAAGTGGTTTGGGTGTCTGACTCTCCATCTCCTGTCTGAGCTTGTCAGCAAGCTTTTGTGAAGTGCAGTGCAGGAGCACCCTGCTGGAGGAGTCAGTGCAGGGTTGTGGGTAGGCTTTGTCCTTAAGTTTCTCCATTCTCACCTTTTGCCTCTTTGTTCTCATATATTCTGACCAGCAGGGCATGCATGGCCGCCTTTGCCCTCATCCTACAGGTCTCCAGGTTCTGTCCTGGGGTACAGGTGGTGATCTCCTTCCAAACTGTTTCTCACCTACTTGGCTTAATTTTCCAGCATCTGCTCACAGGTTCGGGCCACATCACTGAGCTTGAGGCGAGCATAGTCCACTCGTTTTAATGCCATCTGACAGTCCTTCCTTGAAGAGTAGCTGGAGCCCTCATGGGGCTGCCCTGTGGCCACCTACAGGACATTTCAATTGGTCAACAAAGCACCCCCTCCTTTATTCATTTCCACAACAAGGCATCAGGTGTCTTGTCTCATTACTTCAGAGTTTGAATCTATTATGCTACATGGTAGCTGGATGACCTAGGGCAAACCACTTAACTTCTGATAACCTCACTTGGAAAATGGGGGTGACAATAACTAATTCCTATTAAATAAGATCATGCAGAGTGTCTGTCACATTGTAAAAATTTGGTAAATAGTGGTTCTATTGTAATGACTTCAGAATCCTCTCAATCCCGTCCCTTTTTCTCAGGATGTAGCTATCTGGGGTTTCATGCCTCTGAGGTCTGGTCAAGCTTCTAGGGGCAAAGTCCTGTGGCGCTGGGATTGTTTACAAGCCCTCTCCCAGGACTTCCTTATCTAGTGGCTCACGTGATGAAGTCCAGTGAATAGGCAGGGCCGCCTTTACCTTTCCTAACAGTGGTTCTCAACCTTCCTACTGCTGGGTCACTTTAATACAATTCCTCATGTTGTGGTGACCCCCAACCATAAAATTATTTTCGTTGCTACTTCATAACTGTAATTTTGCTCCTGTTATGTCTTAGGCAACCCCTGTGAAAGGGTCCTTCGACCCTCAGGTTGAGAACCGCTGTAAGAAACCAGCCCTGGAATGGAGGGATCCTGCCAGGGTCTCATCTGGCCTGGTGCCCCCTTGTGCAGCCTAGTCCGGCCTGGCTCCCGAGGCCAAGGCCCTGCCTGGGCCCTCTGAAGGTTAAGGCTAAGATGAGAGAGTTGGGTGGGCACAATGCACCTCCCACCAACCACCCACCTGGGTTAGGTAGCGGATCTGGGCCGACAGCTCCGCCTCCACGTGTTGCACCGACGCCGTGAAAGCCGCCGCTTGCCGGTCTAGCAGCCGCTCATTGGTTTTTTCCTTGGAAAGTTCCAGGATCACGGTACCTGCCAGGCGGAGAAAGGGCAGGGCTACAGAGACCACTAGTACAGCCCCTCCCACCCCCACACAGGCAGAGCAAGCATCTAGGATCCCCCCCAGCCCCGCTCCTAATTTCGGGTTGGTGCATGTGCACGCGGCTCGGGCTCGCTCTCTGCCTTCCGGTCGTCGTATCCCAAACCTGCATTCTGAAGAATGGCGCCGATTTCCCGTTCGATGTCTTCCAGGGCGCGTAGTCGCTCGTTTGCCAGGCTGTACGTAGCCATCATCACTCTGGGAACCCACAGGATTTTCTCCTTTTGCGAAATGTGACGCTTGAACCCGGAAGGGACTGTCTGTTTGCGCAGGCGCAAGAGGGCGCTCTATAGTCCACACTACAATTCCCAGGATGCTCAGCGCAGCATCGCCTTTTTCGGTCCACCTGGTGAATTACAACTCCCAGACAGCTTTGCGCATGCCCAGCCCTGCGCCCCGCCACAAGACTACCTAAGAGGCAGTAAGTATCAGGACGTTCTGTAGCTAGAGGCTGTTCTGACCAGTCCACCTTCACGACACTCTATGTTTTGGTCTATAGTTAATTTCTTCTACGAGAATTTATTGAACATCTGCTAGTGCTAGGTGATGATGTTGGGAATTCTGGGATATTCCTTCAGACTGCACAGCCATGGAACCGCTGTGTGCGCCCACTCCGCTCCGCCATCTGTTGAGGCCTGGGGAAAGCTGGACTTGGAGAGCGTTACATTATTCGCCCTAGCACTTCCTCCTGAACAGGAGCTCAACTGAAACATAGACTATCAATATACTCTCAGAAGCTTGCTTATTTCAGCCTTTTCCCCTTTCTGGTTTTGTATTATGTGATGGCCTCTGGGATTACAAAAATGAATGATGGACTCTCCTGCGATAAAGGAATAGGCGTTTTGTTAGTGATATGCCCGGGGTGTTATCACCAGGAGCACAGAGAAAGGATTCTGGGAGGAGGTGCTGCTTAAACGGAATTTTCAGGGTTAATCAGGTATCTACCTGGTTGAAGGGGAACAAGGAAATGGTAAAGGCAAGCGCATGGTGCTTGAAGGGGTCCAGCTCATTTGAAGGACAGCAAGGGATTTAGTTTGGAGTGAATGGAGTATGGTGGTGGTTTGGTGAGACTGGTGAGACTGGAGTGAGGGGACAGATCAGGAAAAGGTTTGCAAGATAAGTAATTTGGACTTTGTTCTGAAGGCATTTGGGAACTTGGAAGGATTTTAAAGAAGTGTGTTATGACAAATTTACCCTTTTGGAAAGATCAATGTTGGCAGGTTTTGGAAGATTGAGAATGAAGCTATTTTGCACAGGGTTAGTTAAACTTGAGGGATCTAGCATTTAACTTTTCCATCCCTAAATCCTAGTAAAATAACAATAGATTTTATAAAGGGTTAAAAAAGAAAGAGGAGTTAATAGCAAAACTTTAGATAGAAACTGGAAAATAGAAGGACAAGTGGTAACTAAGCTAGCAGTGAAGAAGGTTTAGAAGCAATTTGATGTATCCTCAAATTACTGGTATTAGTGGTATCACAATTGTGGTGTAGGTGGTACTAAAATTAGGAGGATTCTTTGAAGTAGTTAGGCCTCTCCCATCTTCTTTACTCCATATATCTCAGCAACTACTCATCCCCAACCCATCATATTACTGGAAGCTTCTTTGTTGGAGATGGAAAACAGAGGGTCTTTAGCATGAAGGGTACCTGGGAACAGTTGTATTGAAAATAGAGAAAGTGAAAGTTTATTTACTGAGTAGTGGTTTCCTGAATTCTGCCAACCAGATCAGAGACTGGAAGGCTTTTATTTGGGGAATTTGACTAATCAGAGAAAAAACCCCAGAGTATTAACCTCAGGGGTTCTCCAACAAAGCTGTTAGCCAGATCACCCCATGGTGAAACCTACAGTTGGCAAGTCCTAACTATGTCCATAGATCCTCTAGTCAACTTCCTAGCACCTCACCCTTATATATGAGCAGACAAAGGATTTGTAGATATTTGAAGAAACTTTCTAACATGAAAGGCAGAGACCAAAATAAACAGGAAAAAAATTAACCAAAACAACATTTTAAACAATGTAAAATTTAAGGGGGAAAAAAAAAAGATTGATACTTTTATGCGAGATACTATAATAAAGGATTGAATCCAAGAAAACACACTCCAAAAATAAAACCACAAGGGAATGAATGAAAATCTAGCAAAATAACTTAAGAGAAATTGAGGCACTGTCCCAGTGAGTAAAACAATAGAAAGGAGGTGGCATATAGGAAAAAGAAAAAGAACAAAACGGAAAATTAGAGATTCAGTCCAGGGGGCTTAGAGATCAAAGAAAATGAAGAGTAAGGAAGGACTTGTGCTTCCAGATGAAAAGGGCCCATCAAGGACCCAGTATCAAGGCACATCATGAAATATCAGAACGCTAGACTCAAAGGTCTTACAAAAGCTTCTGGAGAGAAAACAGATCCCTTGCTAAAGATCAGCAATTGTAATGGCACTGGGCCTCTTAATAGTAACACTCCGGATTAGAAAACAGTGGATCATGCCTTCAACATTTTTGGGGAAAGTGATTTCCAATCTGAAATTCTGTACTCCAGTTCTGCTAGGGTGAAGACTAAAATGCAGTGATTCAACAAAATAAAACTTACTTTTTTTCTCAGAAAACAGTTCAGTGTGGGTGGTTTAGTGTGCTTCACAAATCATACCGAGACCAAGGCTAGCAGTACAGCTCTGTCACCGTTTAGGGTCTTATACTGAAAAGTGTAGTCTGTAGGCCAGAGGCATTAGCATTACCTAGAAGCATGTTAGAAATGCAGTATCTCAGTTGGCCTGCGGACCAAAGAGTTCTGGGTTCGGTTCCCGCAAGGGGCACGTACCACAAAAAAAAAAAAAAAAAAAAAAAAAAAATCACACTTTAAAAAAAAAAAAAAAGCCCTGGCCGGTTTGGCTCAGCGGTTAGAGCGTCCGCCTGTGGTCCGGAGAGACCCGGGTTCGGTTCCCGCTAAGGGCGTGTACCTCGGTTGCAGTTTGTCCCCGGCCCTGGTTGGTCGTGCGGGTGGCAGCCACTCGATGTGTCCCTTTCACATCGATGTTTCTCTCTCTCTCTTCCTCTCTCTCCCTCCCACTCTGTCTGTACGGAAAAATGTCCTCGGATGAGGATTAAAAAAAAAAAAAAAAAAAGAAATGCAGTATCTCAGACCCCACCACAGAACTACTGAATCTGTATCTGTGATTGAAGGTCCCCAGGTGATCTGTATGCACAATAAAATCTGAGAAACACTTCTCTAGGGCATTGCTGTCTGCGATGTCAAAATTGGGTTGCTATGCTGCCATCCCTGGGTCGTAGCTGGCAGGGAGGAGGAAGAAAAAATGTAGAGGTCTGGCTAGGGAGTGGCCTACATAATTTCTACTCACATTCCATTGAAGGAAGCTTAGTCATATGGTCTCAGCCAACTCTGGGGTTCAGGGAAATCCAGTCCTTACCTAGGTGGCCAGCTATTGTTCTAGCACCATGGAAGAATAGAGTTTAGGGGATATCTAGACTCTCATAACAGCCAAACTATTAATAATGAAGATAGAATAGAAATATTGATATGTATAGAGTCTCAAATTTTTCTCCCATGTACCTTTCTCAGGAGGTTATTAGAGATAGACCCAGATTAGAAGGCTCCTGGAGAATTTCTTCAGGGAAATGAAAGAGGTGAACATGTTTTGTTTAGAATGAATTGAGAGGATATATAAACTTTTAGAAGAGAGTATAGGGCTGAATTAATGATAAATTCAAAGAATAAGCAAATTTTTTTATTGTTGACAGTATTACAGATATCTTCCATTTTCTCTTTTTGTCCCCCCTCTACCCAACACTGACCCCAAATAAGCAAATTTTTATTTCTTTATTGATTTTAGAGAGAGGAAGGGAGGGGGAGAGAGAGATAGAAACATCAATGTGAGAGAGAACATTGATTGGCCACCTCCTGCATGTCCCCCACTGGGGATTGGGTCCACAACCTGGGCATGTGCCCTGACTGGGAATCTGGCGACTTCTTGGTGCATAGTTTGGCGCTCAACCACTGAGCCACACTGGCTGGGCGAATAAGCAAATTTTTAAATGACATTCAAAGAAAATAAAGTTATGCAAGAAGAGAAAGGTAATCGATCACTATCACATGACTTAGCTATGAATAACATTTGCAGAAGCATAATGTAACTAATGAATATTGATCCAACCCCAACTGATATAATTCTCTTGGGAGTATGGGATGCAGGGGCAGGATGGAAAGTGATCCATGGTGGGGCAGAGGGAAGAAAGGGAGCTCAGTTTTCACCTTACATGGAGGGAAGCCAGTAGATGGCATTTAAAAACAAAGAGTGCCCTGTCCCGTTTGGCTCAGCAGTTAGAGCATCCACTCAAGGACCAAAGAGTTGCGGGTTCAATTCCGGTCAAGGGCATGTACCTCAGTTGTGGTTAGGGGCCCTGGCCAGGGTCATGGGGGAGGCAATCAGTCGATGTGTCTCTCTCATATCGATGTTTATCTCTCTCTCTATTTGAGGATAAAGGAAAAATATCTTTGGGTGAGGATTTAAAAAAACAAAACAAAAAGTAATGAACATGTTGTTTGGAGATATGGAAGAAAATACCAAAAGAAACATCTACAGGAGGTGAAAGTGCTTGCCTCTGAGAAGGAAATTGGAGAGGTGGAGGGTCTACTTTTCATTGTAATAGGCCTTGTAGTCCTATCTGACGCCTTAAACTATATGTATATATAACTTTGAAAATAAAAGTAATAAAGGTGAAAAGTGAGAGAGAAAATAGAGATACGTTTTACTGTGAAAGAATTAAGTGTGGAGGAGTGTTTTTTCTTTGGTTTCCTTCCTTTCTCCCTCCCACCTTTTCTTATCCCTCCCTCCTTTTCTCCCTTCCTTTCTTTAATGGAAAAGACTTGCATGAATATATTTACCATGGAGGAAGAAGCAGTAGAGAGAGGCAGAGGTTGAAGAGGGGAGTGGGATCTGAGCACAGGTGGAGAGATTAGCTTTGAACTGATGAAGGCATCTTAAGCTTGGTTGTCTAGGAGATTTGGTATAGATGTCAGTGTTTGTTGGTAGGAGGTAGGAAGTTGAAATCATTCAGCCCTCATAGTTTAATCTCTGTGAAAAACAGAAGTCACTCTGAACAGGGGGTAGTTTTGGAAAATTAGTAAGATGGGAGCAGGAGAGGGAGGTGACCAGGGACATGGACTGAGACAAAGGGTTGTCAGGTATTGAGGTCCAGCTGAGGTCAGAGACCATACATTGT